GTAAAAATCAAACTATAGTTGCACAAGTTCTTACTTCTGCTTCATTTGTTATTGGTGGATTCGTCAATTGAGAATTGGAACAATAATCTATCATTTCTGTTGAATTCAATTCTCGTAAACCAAATATTATTGATTGATGACCTGATGTTTGTTTATTATCAATAAAATAGGTATAAATGCTTTCATTCGTTGAATCTATATACAAACAAATTGATGAATATTATTACTTTTAAAGAGACCTCTCCTCGTCTTCGCACTTTTGGAAAACGGCTCATCAACAATTTTTGAAACTTTCAGAGTAGATAGATTACAGTGTGTACAGCAAAAGTTGTGCTAGATTCAAGGTTCCTGGGTGTTTGCTTCTAAGAGATACTGGGATCGCAAAGGTTAAAAACAGCCCCCTTATCGCCCCACTTTCTCAGTCGCAATGCGTTCGGCAGAGCTGAAATATTTTTTACAGATACTAGACACTGTTTGGGGTGCCTACTTTTTTGTTTGTTTATATCATTCTGTTCGCAAAAAAACAACCAAAATACTTTAAACACCCTAAAACATGTATGTTTTTTTTTGAATAGAGGTCTTTTTGTAAAGTTTGCGGAAAATCAACGGTACAATATTTTTCGAAAAGAAAAAGGTAGGCACCCACAGCACTATATAGTACTTGTATAAAAAGTTTCAGCTCGATCGAATGTACCATGCCTGATAAACGGGGGTGATTCTACAAATTTTTGAGAATGCTTCCTATTCCCGAATGTTACACATTCCTGCACTGCGTTCCTATCCGGATCGTCTTCCATCAAATTCCGGAATTCCCAAGAAGCCTGTTATTCGCAAATACAAGCCACAATCCGGAATTCCTGTATCGCAGTTCTATGACAACTCCATCCATCTACATTGATTCCAGCTCATTCCTGGCTATTCCGGAATTACAAAAGATGTGTTTCGTCGGGAAAAGATGATCCTGAACGATCGATTCGATTTCTTAACGGAATTCCGGAATTCGTGCACATCCGGAAACGTCCGGAATTGGCAGGAATTCCACGAAATGCACGACTCCCGGAACTCCGTATTTATCCCCATGTGAAGGCTTACATAAACATCAATACATCAAGCAATTCCGGAATTGGCTGGAATTCCGGGAAATGCATGAATTCCGTATTTATCACCATGCTAAGCTTTACATAAATATCAACAGATCAAGCGATTCCGGAATTGGCAGGAATAGAATGCAAGGAATTCCGGCATTGGCAGGAATTGAATGCAAGGAATTCCGGAATTGGATGATGTTAGGTTGGATGGTTCAAGCGATTCCGGAATGTGTAACTTTCCGGAATAGGATGACTGCTCAAATTTTTGCAGAAGAATCAGATTTCCAGAAAAGCGAAATTTCGCTTATTTTCATGTAAAAAAGTTCGATTTTGTTCTGAACTTTAAAGCTACATTTTAGTTCTCGAAACATGTTCAATCGATAGAGGATACTTAGTAGCGCATGAGAAGCCGAAAAAATCGAAAATTTTAGGTCGAGAAAGGGTTCCCTTAAACTAAATCTTACTCGAAGGACATTGAAGAGTCCATCCATCAATTTGATTGAGTGAGCTATTCAATTGAGGTGATTGATCAAATTTATAAATGAATAAATAAGCAAGATTTGTATTTAAAGGATGAATTTCAAAATGAATCGATACTGTGAGTGCACTTGTAATATTGACATAATGTAAATTGAAAATTTGATTATGAGGATTCGAATTCAATGAAAGAACATTTTGTAAAATCATTGATGAAATAATTAAATTTGGATCACGAGGAATAATTATTCCAATTGGATTTGTTGAAAGATTTGTTTGAATAGAAATTTCATTTTGATATTGATCAAGAATTGCAATTGATATTGATCTTGAAAGATTTGTATTTGATTCAACTGTTGAATTACCAAATGATGCGAGTGGTTCCATTATTGACTAAAAAAGAAAAGAAAGAAATTATTTATTAGACAACAAAACAAACTCGTATTGATATAATTTGATTATTCGTAATATTTGTGTAGAAAGTTGATGGAAGATGAATTTGACTATTTCCGACTTGTTGAATAATTTTATTCTTCAAAGATTCAATTGTTTGTGTTTCTAATGACATAAATACATTTGATGTATTCATTATTGTATTTTGTCCAATATTTAAATGAATATTTAATGATGATGTTAATAAGAATATGATTTGATTTACTTGACTGATTAGTTGATGTGCTAATTGTTTTTGATAATAAATATTTCGTCCGTTAGAAGTTGTTTCCCATGAAAAATCATTTCCATCAGCAAATAAATCTATATAGATTATTCAAACTTTCATTTGAATGTAGTGACAATCTTACTTAGATTTGACCATTCTGATTCTAAATCAGTATCATAATCATCTGGCAAAGCAGTAGCACGTGACAGATCTTTGTCCAATACAATTGTTCGTTGTTGTAATGGCCCGTTCACTGCCTGCATGGATGATCGAAAACAAAAACTTTTATTGTTCTTATAAAGAAAAGTCTTACAATTAGAACATTCGTAGCACATTGAATTAGTTGAATTGCTGCTGTTTGAACATCTTCATATGAAATTCTTGTTGACATAGAATACAGAGCAATGGTCAATTGAAGACATTTATCCGCAGCAATGATCTGTTATTATTGAAATATATTGTTGAAAGAGCAAAACTATATCTGTCTTACTAAAGCTGTTCTTGTTAATTGATTTGTTGCGTCTGTCAACTGAACTAATGTTGATGATTGTAATTCAATACTATATGATGTTGTTATCACAAGATTCATTATAAATGACATCAAATATTCTCGCACATTTGCTTGAGAATTCAGTTCTTTATTATATTCATTCAAAGCTGACATATTAAATAATGTCGATGTCTAATTTAAGAATAATGATAAAAGAAAAGGAAATGAAATAAGATTACCGTATAATAACTTTGACTATTCAATGAAGAAATTGAAACACTAGTAACTGGAATACCACCTATAAAAGACAAAAGATTATTATTTCAATTCTCTTCTTGATCAAATCTAATTTACTTGAAATAGCTTTAGCAAGATTTTCATTATTCATCTTATTAAGTTGTTGTGAAGCAGAAGTAAGAACTTGTGCAACTATATTTTGATTTTTACTTGAAAGTAATTGAACAATTGAGTTTGCTGTTATTTGATTTGATGAACTTTGAATAATATTTATTAAATCATTGATTTCATCAAAATCTGGGATAACAATGACTGATGTTAAATTAAATTGTGTTATACAATCTAATTTATCTCGAATAGAAACAATCAAATCAATTTCATATGTTAAATCATCTCCAACTGGTAATCGAACTTGAAATATTGAAACTGCGGAAAATGCAATGAACATTCGTTTGGATAAATCTGTCGTCCAACCTAATTAAACAAAAATTCGTTTTCTTTTTTATTCGAAAGAATAATTTAACATACTATATAGTGAATAATCTTTTATTCCATCTTTATCAAACCAATCTGGACATGAAATAGTAAATAAACTACTCGTTGTACCATTGTAAGGACTGATAGAACATGAACCATTGGATGGTGATTCATTAATCACAAAATTCAATGAACTTGAACTTGTTTCTGATGCAAATCGATAAACAACTTCAAATCGCCAAAGATGTAGCTCAGGATTCGATAAAAATAATTGATTTGTTGCTGTGAAATTTGTCGTATTTATTCCTAAAATATTTAATATAACAACAATATTATCAACAAGAAAAAAGATATTTACCAAAAAACCAAATGTTTTGATAAGTAGTTGTTTGATTGAATAAAGTCCATTGAGTGACATTAGAAGACGAATTTGATAATCCATAATAAACATTCCATGTTATATTCTGAATTGTTGTACAATTTCCAATACAAATCGAAAATAAAGCAACTTGTGTTGTTGGATTAACAACTTGAAACTCCGTATTAGAAACACACATTGTCGATATAACACATCTAAATTAAATATTTATTATTTAGATTTGATTAAAAAGTAATTCTTTACCCAACAGCAATGACTGGAGAGAAAATATCTTTCACTTGGACAAGTAAATAACCAGTTGCTTGAATTGATGGATTGAGACGATTCTCCATGTAAACCATAAATTGATATGTTCGATTTGATTGAAGTGATCGAGAAAGAATTGTTAATGATGATTTTATTGAATTACTGTATTCCCATGCTGTTAGATTATCTTTACAAATAATTATAGTCAATCTTAAAAGTTAAATGAATAATTTTAATAACAGACCTGTTCGATTTGATAAACATGATGGATTCAATGGATCAATAGTTGAATTATCAATCGGTAGCAATGAACCATTAAGGTTTGGAAACATGTATAAACCATAAATTCGACAATAATATTCATATTTCCATTCCTATCAACAAAACAGAAGTAATTCAAAAAAGTTTTAATTTTAATTTTTAACTTACACTGGCATTAAATTCATATCCATCCGGATCAACAGAATATGTTCCTGGATCAAGTTTTAAATCTTGTTCATGTCCACTTGCAATCAGTGGCGTTCCTAATTGAACAAGATTTGCTATAATACCTGATGGTATTATTCGAACATAAACAAATGATAATGTAAATATATGTGGAAAATCAATCATTGTTACTGTTAACATCAATTGATATAAACCATATGAAAGAATTTTTGATGGAATATATAATTCACTAAATGTTGTTTGGATTCTTGAATCAATTGCAAGTTGATGTAAACATGATGATGATGTGCAGTTTTGGATTGTCCATCCAGTTTTCATTGATAGTGACAAATTACAATTTAATTTAATTATTGACACAATATAGAAATCTTGACTTCGACGAAATTGTAATGGAGATGATAGTATTGATGCATCAGGTATAAGTGTTACTGCTGGTGAAAAACATTCTGAGTAACCATATTAATTAAAAACAAAAATGAATATTTTTATATTATTTGTTCATTACTTTGATTGGGATAAAATGTTGTTGTTGTTGTTGTAGTAGTTGTTGTTGTCGTCGTTGTTGTTGTTGTTGTTGTTGTCGTCGTTGTTGTTGTTGTTGTTGTTGTTGTTGTCGTCGTCGTTGTTGTTGTTGTTGTTGTTGTTGTTGTTGTTGTTGTTGTTGTCGTCGTTGTTGTTGTTGTTGTTGTCGTATCTATATTCAAGTAATGATATTATTTCTCAACTATAAACGAAATGTAGTTTCTCAACAATTGATTTCTTCTTCAAATTCGAACTAATTGTAGAAAACGAGAATCGATAAAATAACTGTAAAATAGTAGCATGATCAGAAGGGGGCTCAGTTCCCTCTAGTAGACTCAGAGCCCTTCTCCAAATAGGTGAGTTATGTTTAAAAATGATTTGAGTCCCGTCCAGAAATGTGACAATAATGGACTATGTTCACTCTATAGACACGAACAGAGGGTTGCGCTCGCTCTACAGCCATTGTAAAAGTAAAGGCAAAATGTAATTTTGTCATAAAAAGACAAATATTTGTGATTCATTAAAGAGATAATTGTTTATGAGAAAGATAAATAACTGTTTTGATAAAAATAAATCTAAATTCAAAAGGAATTTATTCATTGCGTATATCTTCAAACAATGTTTTCATCTTAAGGTTAAGAAAATGTAACAATGAATATTTTAGTAAAGATTAGATCGAAAGAAATCTTTGCAGACATTTTCATTAATATTTGAAAGAAACACGAGATTGTGAAACCCATGATTCAGTTTCGAAGATGTACATGCTGTCACAGAAGATGTTGCAAACAAACATATTCTCGCCACAGCAATATGTTTTTTTGAACTTTACAAAACTTTATAAATATGCTCAGAATTCGAGTATCCACAAATGTCACACACGGTGACTAAGTGAATCTTATGTATCCATATCAACAGTGTTGGTTCAATACAGTGATGGCAGGGATTTTCAAAAGATTGAGTAGAAACTATTCTGACAACGATAGATTTTTATCGATGCTCGACATCTCTGATGCTTACTTAACCGAAGATATAAATATTCTCGTTTAATTACGATTTATCAACCAAAACCACCAAAACTCAGTCGTTTCAACCAATAGGAGTTGATTAAATAACGAAAATTTTTTCAATTGTTTACCTTTGAATATCACTGCTCAATTCACGGAGAAACATGAAAAATTCTTTTCGGCCTATGTTCAAACTCTTTTACAGTTCAACAGGAAAAATCGAAATACTATGAGAAGTGCAAAAGAGCATTATTCACTTTCCTCTTTTGGATAATAGGAAAAGGGATAAAAAAAACTCATCAGGGTTATCGCTTGAGTTATTTTATTGGAATTATGCTCTTAAATAGATGTATGTGCCAATATCTCATCTATTTCAGAAAGAAATGAACACAAAATGTGAAAATTTTGATCTTGTTTATATGACACAAATATTGATCGCTACTAAAAACCTACTACGCGTCCGCTAACTGTTGAAAAAGTGATCGCTGTCACGATGATTTCCGAAAAAATATCTCGAAATGAATTACTGTGCCGATGTAAAACAAGAACTTTTCTTTTCAATCTATGAGGTTTATTTATTTTCACGATGTCAAATCTGTGAATATTAAAACTTTGTACAGATGCATCAATTTTTTGATATGTTCTGTAAAAACAAACGAATTCAGTTAGGCGATCATTGATAGAAAGGCGACAGTGCTCAAATCAATCTATGGTTCTATGTATCAATGAAATAAAATGATGAAAAATCTAATAAACAATCAATCATTTATTCGACTTCTAATAGTAGAATGGAACACTTTCATTCTCAGTTTTTAAAGACACAAAAAAGAAAAGCAGTTTTGAAACATTATTCTAAACTGAGTCAATAAAACAATTATTCACTCTACAAAACTATCGACTTCATCTACCTAATAAAACTTTTCTTCTCATCAAAAAGTTGATCAGATAGTGAATTGGTCTATTAGAATTTGTAATTATTTTCTTAGAACACCTATCGATTGATGTCATTATGTGTCTAACAAGGCTTTCAATAAGTATTTCACATGAANAATTATTCAATAGTTGAAGTTTCAAGTATTCAATTATTCAATTATTCAATAGTTGAAGTTTCAATTATTCTTGAGGGTGAGTTTACTTTAAAGACAGTTCCAAGCACTCACGACGCGTTTCGTCCTTCCTTAAGGGACTCATCAGGTAAGAATGGAAGTGTAGTACGAAAGGAAAAGAAGTAATAATAGAGAAAGTGGAATATACGAGTTACTAGGAACTTAGAAGTATTCGGTGTGGCATTTTATAGATCATGTTGTTACAAGAAGTATGTTGTTGCGCTGAAGAAATGGACTATTTTCTTGGTAAGTATATAAGGCGAATGATATTATAATGTGAGAAGTTATGATAGTGACTGGAATAGGTCATGAAACACGATTGCGGGAAAGATTATGGGATGTGAAGAATTTTTAGATAAGAGAGAGAGGTCAGAAGAAGAGATGGAATCGCTTGGCAGAGAGATGACCGCAGTCAGTGAGATCGCTCTGGCCAGAAGGACTTCCACTGCCACTGGGCAATACCTTCTTCATAGCATTTTGATATAGATAGCTATTTCAAAACCAGCGATTAGGAAGAATTAAGGATTTGAAAAAAGAATCTGGACACTACTCGAAGTGCAATGTTAAGCTTAATTTGGTTTGTATAAGATCCCCAAAGAATAGAAAGGGTAGTGTCCAGAAAACAAAAGCCCTAATTAAAGGATAAACGTACCCAAGTTGAATCGAAGTTGTAGAAGAGTGGTTGTGGCGATAGCTGGTGTGTTAAATGAATAAATGAATAGATTCGGAAGAAAAAATCGATTTATATAGTAAGGGCGAGGACACCAGGAACAATAGGGCACTATGGACACTAGAACACATAAAACATCGGAACATGAAAGACATGAAGAGTCTGAAAGACATTAGGGCATATAAGACATGAAATTAGATAAGACATTAGGACACGTGAGAGATTGGGACATTAAGAACACTGAAGATTGTATAACACCAAGAACAATAAAGACACTGAAGACTACGAGGACATCGAAGACATGAGAATACTGAAAACACCAGAACACTGAAGACACTCAGGACAATTAGGACACTAGAACACCGAAGACTGAGGACACCGAGACACCGGGACACCGAAGACACTAGAACACCGAAGACTGAGGACACCGAGACATCAGGACACCGAAGACACTACACGAAAACGATCTATGGAGTGATCGGTCGACTTACCGGATTGTTGATAACGTTGCACTACTGTAAAGGGTATTTTATTACAATAATTCTCGAATGCTTGGCGTTGAAGTGTTTCTATGAAAGCAACAATATGCACACGACATGTCTGTTCTTTTAAAGAAATGCCTATTAGCTTCACATGTAGATGAATCTATTCATATAAAACAAACAAAAGATGTTGTATATGAAATTTCAACTACACGTCAAAAGCTACTTTGACGCAAATATCTCAATCATTGAATTGGACTAGAAGATAGATACATCTGTGTCTTCGTCGTCTAAGATCAAATGTATCGCGTTAT